CTGGGAAGTTAGTTGCGAGCACAAGTCCTGTACCTTCACGCTTCGCTTTACGTACTGTGATCTGAGACACCAAGTTTTCTTTCAACTATATCTGCACGGATTAGCGCTCGCTCTTAACTTCGAAGCCGCCATAAAGATTCGACAACACCTTTTTTTCGTCGTAATGGTCGGTAACCAGTTCAAGTCACCATGAACGTGCAGTAGACTGACCTTTATCTTGATTTATTTAAAATTTGTGGAGCATGTGTTCTTTCATACATAGTTACTAGCCGTCATCTCTCTTTTTTTGATAATAAAGATTATTTATTTATTTATCTCAGTAATCTAATCGAGTTGAGCAGCCCCTTTCTAACCATACCACTGTTCACATAATCCATTAGTCATTTAACTATCCTAACCTATTCCTCAATCTTGAGCATCCCATGTTCATACCATATGGCAACCAATTTTCATGCAACATTTCGATCAATAGGGGTGGCTGCGCCAATTCAGACTTCCACTTCCATACTCATTTCTCATTATATCCCATTTGTGTAACAACACAAAATATCAATTTTATAGTGTTTACAACCTGCAAGTTGTAATGACTTTCACCAGTAGCGTAATTAGTGGTGGATACTGAAGGTAAACGAGAGAGTAAGGATTAAAAAAATAACAATAATGTATACTGATTAAAATCATTTATTCGTCACGAAATAATATTATTTAGTCAGAAAATTTATTTTAGACACATGAACCAAATCACCCTTAAGCTGAACTACATCTAGCGTTCTATTTATACATTCTTTTTCAAAATGCAAGGAGCATATTCTTCTTACTACTGCAGGTTTTATGTTTTCCTGGCCTGTATTATCAATCCACAATTTTTGAAGGCCTTCATTTTTTGGCAACCTAAAATAAATATTATGCATCTTTAAGTACCAATCAAAAATATTACTGTTGTCTCCACTGTTTTTCTTGGCATCACTCTCGACGCAAAGCTTCAGTGTGGCCCCCATATATCCAAACTAGCAAGCAGACTAAGTTCTGCAGCCTATGCTGTAAAAAAGATTAGAGGTCTCACTAGTGTCGAGACAGCTAGATTAGTTTATTTCAGTTATTTCCATAGCATAATGTGTTATGGGATTTTGCTATGGGGAAATGCGGCTGATTCAGAAACTATTTTTGTTCTACAGAAGAGTGCCATTAGAGCTATTTACAACCTATAACCGAGAGAGTCTCTTAGAGGTAAATTTAAAGAAATAAATATATTAACTTTGGCCTCTTAGTATATTTACGAAAATTTAATGTATGTTCACAAAAACAAAGGTAGTTTTAGTAAAAAAAGTGATGTGCATTCTGTAAACACTAGGAACAAACACAAGCTAGCGATACCAGTTTCTCGACTCCACAGATTCAGTAATTCATTCTTGGGGCAATGTATACGCTATTAAAACAAGGTCCCGGAAAGTGTACAGGCTCTCTTTATTAGCAAGTTTAAATGTTTTGTTAAGTTGAAACTGTATAAAAAGGGTTATTATAGCATAAATGAATACATGGTTGATAATAACCCCTGGGAATGAGGTGATCGCTTCCAAGTTGTTTCTAAAATAAATTTTGTACTTATATAGTTTGTACAACCATTATTGTGAAATTTTCTTTAAAAAAAAGTCCCGCTGGGTTTCTTGCTGGTTCTTCCCAGGACAGAGGTTTGTTTCGAAACAGTGGTAAAGTAAAAAATGACTTTCAATAAGAATTACACATGTAATCTATATTGAATAAAAAATTATTCTATTCTATTCTATTCTAATCTTAACATCATCAAATCTTTTGATGAAAAAAACCATTATAGAAAATTTACGATTTACACTATTTTCAAGTTCTTTTCTTAAATGAAAGGCTCTCAATCGATCGTTTGATTAAATATACAGTTTACGTATCTAAAACGTTATTTGATCATAGGACTACATTAATATTATTGTTAAATTTTTTATCGATAATTTCAAAACATGACAGCACCTAAGGGCAACACTATGTAAAAATGTAAACAATCAAAATGTTTACTTGTTTAAATTTACATGATAATAGTCATTGGAAGTTCTAGATAATAGCGGGAAAGACGATTTAGAACCCATAACATGAACATGAAACGCAATTCACACGAAAAAATATACAATTATGGAAAAAAATTACAACTAACCTGAAAAATGACAATCCTTCTTCATTTTTACGAGAATTTGAATTACATCCATTGATGCAACACTTTGTCATGTTGTTTTTGCTCAATTACCCTTTACTAATGAACAAAAAAGCTCCAAAATAGTCAAAATTGCAATTAATTGCAATTGCTGTAAAACTGCAAAATAACTCCGAACAAGGCTTAGATGACAGACGAACTACCACAAATGAACGTCATCCTAAAATAGCGTCATGCTTCAAGGTGGAGCTTAGTGAAATTATGAAAACTGTCAACAGAAAATTGAAGTCTAATCTTGTGTCGTATTATCGTCAGTGGTGTGTCTTGCCTAGTGTAGTGGTGAAGGGAGTAGCGGTGCTGGGATTAGTGGTGACGGGGATAGTGCACGCAATTGAGGGAGGGCGGGAGATGCTCTTCATACTAAGTAAGACACATCATTTTATTTTATGACGCGGATATTTGCGAAGTTAATTTTTCTGAAAGCTTTTATATAATGGATTTCCGCAAAGTAACGCCTGATTCTATTAATTATGTAAGTAATTGTGCAATTAGTATAAGACTTTATTATACATTTAGATTTAGTATGTTAAATTGTAACAATTGTAAGTAGACATTTTTAAATAAATAAATATAAATAAATCACTGCTGTCACAGACGTCTACGTATAAACAAAATCCAGATAATCGCGATTTTCTCAATATCCTGCTCCGCTACAGTAATAAAATGGTAGGCTCTATTTATGTTCACGCACCTAGTTGCCCAGACTAAGTTCTACCAGACAGGGGCCCATACAGCTGTTAGGTTCGACGAACAACTAGGACGGAGCCCAAGTGGCCTTATGGAAAATGTTCTATCCTACTACACTTTAATGGGGAGGCTAGTCAAATAAAGAGTACTTACCTGTATCTGAGGCGACGACTGTCTCAAGGTTCGGTCAGGACGGAGGTGTGTATGTGCATGTGTAGTGGTGTTTTTAGTGGTATGGATTGTGGTAGACCTGACTGGACCGTTGAAGTCGGCAGCTACCAGGACTCCGGCACCGCTCCAAATTATGGTAATCTCCAGCGGCGTCACCCACGGTCAATTTCTTTCTTCTTCACTATCTCAGTCTATTAACTTTATTGTACATTTAACTAACTTCAAAACGCAACTAAATCCCGTTACTTATAATCAAAAACGTAACACACAGCACGAATACCGAATGTTCGGATCAAAGGTCACTTCCGTTTCGCGTGGCAACAAATTATTTCTAGAACCTAACACGACCTTCTCTAGTGTCACAAAGTTCAGCGTTCAACCGACAACGAAAAATGTCTCCGAACTATATCAAATGCCGCACGAGCAAATTAATATTGTCAAATGCACTTATATACGCTATCAAATTAGAATAACCAAATTCGCGGTGAATTAGGCGCGCACAACCCACAAATTCAGACGTTGATCGCAATCAATGTTAACTTCCTAACAATTTGTCAACCCTAATTAATAACCTCTAATTCTAGACTACAATTCCTCGTTGTTGCACAATTTGCTAACAAAACCGACTCTAAAAAATGGAGGTTATCCCGAGCGGCTTCACGACGTGCTATCGATAGCACTTCATTCAAGCAACTCCCATTGTACTCACGTTCTGTGCTCGCGCTCTCTGCCAAACCCACTCCACTCGCCCGAACGTCAAAACCGGTATGGCACTGAGTCGAGCGCCCTCCGGCGTCAAATCTTGAAACTACAGTTTGGGCGTGAACAATTTATGTCTATTTTAGAAAATATTTTTTTAAAAACTTTACCTCTACACTAGGATTTTCTCCTGTATCGTGGAGGCAGTTTACAAATACAAATTGCCCAAGGACAAACAGCCAGAGCCGGAACAATAATTTGTAGGCCATACAAATACTTGTTCCGTGCGGGATTCGAACCCGCGGCGCCAGCGCAACAACTCACTGCTAAGCCACTGCACCACGGAGCCGTTAGTCCTGCAATCTAGGAACAGGTATCTGTAACGTTTCGTAACTGCATTTAGCCGTCTATAGTACCCACATGGACGTATTTCCCCATTTTTCTTGGGTACAATATTTTTTTTTTGATTGATAAATTTTGGCCATTGTGATTGGCCCAAGGACTCTTTGAAGTCCGACAGATCCTTAATTCCTGCATTAACTTAAACTCTTCTTTAGCTTTCTTATAACGGTCGGGAGTTAAAGGTCTAGCTCTGACGAAAAATCTTAGCTTGAAGAAAGCCACGTACCAATGTATTGGCAGCGGTATTTTGTTTATTTAAGTAATTTTTTTATCAATAAACATGCATGCCATTTTTTATTGAAGTTTAAAATAATGTTTACAGAGAATGTACAAATAGGCATGCAAAAAAAACATGGAAATGTTCCTTATTTTTATTTTCGTTTTGCACAAGTTTTTTATGTCAGGCTTGTGTAATATGCATGCCATTTTTTTATCAACTTAAAATAATGTTTTTTGTCACCATCTCCCAGTCTATCTCGTTCACTGTCTTCACTGCGGAAAATCAGCTCCTAATATTGGTTGTCGAATATCTGCTATTACAAAAGTCCATTTAAAAGCTCGCCGCGAACCTAAATTTAATACATGGGTTCTTATTCCATAGGTTTTAATCTCGGTACCATTTGCGGCGTACAACTTGTAATCAGATCACTTTTTATAACTATATTTATTTTTACACGGAATAATTGAAATGTTAGCACCTGTATTATTCATCAACGAGGAAACGCAGCCCGGTGTTGGGAGTCGATGACACATAGGCGATGTGATTGCTGCACCACGCAAGCTCCCGCCATAGCCTGCACGTCTGCTAGTTTTCCGGTTGCTTCTTCCATGTGCATGGCTGTTCACAATGGCGTGCTCTCTCTCGGTAACGGAAGTGGAACGAACAGAGCCAATCGGGACTCTCAGGTGTTCGTCGGTTGGAACTTGAACGAGGTCTTCTAAAGTTTCGATAACGAGATGTACTCCTTCCTCTTTGCCGATTTTTTTTATAGGAGAGGGGGCAAACGAGCATGCGGCTCACCTGATGGTAAGTGGCTACCGCCGCCCATGAACAACTGCAACACTAGGGGAATCGCAGATGCGTTGCCGGCCTTTTAAAAAGGAGTAGGCTCTTTCTTGAAGGTCCCTAAGTCGTATCGGTTCGGAAAAATCGTTGGTGGTAATCGATTCCACAAGGAAGTTGTGCAAGGGAGAATACTTCTTCTAAATCGCACAGTGGTGGACCGCCAATCATCCAGATGATATGGATGGTATCGCGAGTTTTGTCGCGATGTGCGATGGTGAAATTGAGCGGCTGGAATTAGTCCGAACAATTCCTCAGAGCACTCCCCGTTGTAGATGCGATAAAATACGCAAAGAGATGCAACATCTCTACGCAGTGCTAGTGAGTCAAGCCGATCGGAAAGAACTCGGTCGTTGACGATTCGAACCGCTCTGCGCTGGATGCGGTCAAGTGGAAGGAGCTGGCACTGGGAGATGGGAACAGTATTCTATGTGAGGCCGAACCTGCTCTTTGTAAAGTTGCAGGCGGGGTGCCCGCATGAAATACTGTCCCGCTCTGCTGAGCACGCCAAGCTTTTTAGAAGCCAATTTGGCCTTCTCTTCCAAGTGACCACGAAACTGCACGTCACTCGATATGTCGACACCGAGGATACCTTTGTTCAACAAAGTGTCGACTTTAGACACAAGTTTGTTCCGGTACTCGGTGATGTTTGACGCCGATGATCACGACTGACCTGCCTCCCTTGTCAGACTTCCATAGTGTTTAATCTCGAAGTTAATTTTGCTTTTTTATATAGGATAGAGTGACAAACGAGCACACAGTCCACCTGAACCACCACGTCCACGGTAAGTGGTTACTGTGACCCATAGACATCTACATCTATCCTCAATAAAGACTCAAGATGCAAATGCGTTGTCACCCGTGAGGACTAAGATGGAATGCCTCTTTTCCAGTAAAAAGGGTCTCCAGTTCTGTACACTCACCATACGAAACACAGCAGCGTTGAGCTGCTATTTTACGCTGGTTTTCTGTGAGAAACTAACTCCGCTAAAATTAATTCTGACGTACTCTGGTCACTCGTGGCTGGTGATGTTACCTCTGCTACCTGCATGGGTAGTGTGGCATCCATGACCTTATCTGCTGTTGCGGCAAACTATCCAAACTTTTGCTATCCACGACTGCTAATACTGCTCTTATCGTCGGTGGTAAACGGTTTTGCCACAGGAGACGAAGTGTGAGGTCTGGTATCTTACCACGTCCTAGTTCTTTCATACGACGTAAAAGTTGTGATGGCCTTTGTCCCCCAGCTCCATCTCACTCAGAAGTTTCTGTAGTTGTCTCGAGGCAGATTCTTCGTAAATTGACAGTAAACGCTCCTTTAGTGCTTCGTATTTCCCTGATGTTGGTGGCTGAATCACTAAATCCGTTATCTGTGCGATAGCATCTTTGTTTAGCTTCACAATCACGATGTCGTACTTTGTCTGATCACTCAACTTTTGTGGGTTCAATATAGCTTCAATTTGTATAAACCATAACCTTGGCTGTTCCGTCCAAAATTCCGGTAATCGTGTGGCAAGAGATACTGCTCCTAAATCCATGCGTTGCTCAGGTATTGACGTGCCAGTATTCGGTATCATGAGCACGGGTACCGCGGCGTAATCAATTTTCTGGCTCGATCTCGACATTTCACTTTCTGTTGGCAGCGACATTTTATAAAAACATTAAAGCCCACAATTCACTCACTTTACTAGGTGAAAACCGATCGCGAAATTTACACCCACACACTAGCCTTTACCGCCGTGGCGTGAGCTGTTCCCTATTGCACAGTAATCATGTCCGACGCGTTGCACCGAATCTCTATGTTCGGAGTTCGGGGTCGCCAATGTACGTGATATGTGTGGGAATGTGCGATGTTGTTGGCTAATACTGTACTAGTTACTATTGCCTGATAACCTCGCAGTATGACTCACTGAAGGTATCTAACGTGTTCAGTAATAAAAATCTCAAGTCACTGATGTCATATTCAGAAATTACAATTTACAGATTAAGCTATATGTTACGGACGCTACAATATATTTCCTGCTTGGTAGCGGCCTAGCGTGGGCTGTGACGGGGAACGACTGGCGTTCGCTGTCGAGCGCACTCCGGACACAAGTGTAAAACACAATCAGTAAAATGTATGTAACTACTGTGTCCCTACGTAACTGTTTTCACTTTTTCATGAGTTCATTACAGCCCTTCAGAAGTCCACTGCTGAACATTGGCCTCCCCATGGAATGCCATAAAGCACGGTCTTGAGCCACCAGCATGTCTCACATTAGTTGTCACCCCATCTATTAGTAGAGAACTAGTCTACAATTCGTCTACCGGTAATAAGCTGCCATTCGAGAATCTTTTTTCCTCATTGGTTCTCGGTTCGTCGAGCTATATGACTGGCCCACAGCCACTTCACCTTACTAATACATTGCGCTATAACGGTTAATTAACCATTTCTAAGTTTATTACGCAGAGAAACTCCGAGCATAGTCCTCTCCATAGCTCACTGACAACGCGCACTGGTTGTACAATCTGACCTGATTTTATTTTAACAAAAAACGATTACATTTTTAAAAGGATTAAAAAATGTGCTGATTGCATAGAAAAATATTTTTTTGTGATTTGATAAGACTCGTCTGACCGAAGGTCGATTTCTGGTCCAAGCCCAAGTCGAAGCCTATTAATCGGCTATCTTCACAACATTTGGCCGAAGCCGAAGGCTTATAAACCCTAAGAAATTCAAGATTAGTTAAAATTAATAATATAAATGATTTTAAAACTTTTAAATTAAAGGTTTTTTGACTTTTTTGACACTAGGTAGGACATAACACAAATAATAATATATAATTAATAGAATCAGGCGTTACTTTGCGGAAATCCATTATATAAAAGCTTTTACAAAAATTTACTTCGCAAATATCCGAATATGCGATATTTGCGAAGTAAATTTTTGTAAAGTAAAGTAAAGTAAAGTTACAGCCTATATACGTCCCACTGCTGGGCACAGGCCTCCTCTCATTACTGAGAAGGTTTTAGGACAAGGAAATGTCCGCCGCGCTGCCCCAATGCGTGTTGGCGAACTTCACATGTCTATGAAATATTTTTTTCTTATTTCTTAGACATGCAGGTTTCCTCACGATGTTTTCATTCACCGCCGAGCACGTGGTAAATCAGCACTTAAAATTGCAATTAACAATTTCATTGGTGCCGGCGGGGATTGAACCCGGGTTGCTCGCGTACTGTGAAACTTACAGCGAGCGCTAACCATCTGAGCTACCACGGCAAATTTTTGTAAAAGCTTTTAAATAATAATATACTCAATATTTCAGGGCATTTACGGATTTTTCTGCAAATTAAACCGTCTTATTTTATAAACTAGCTTTTTACCCGCGGATTCGCTCACGTGGTCTTCTTTTTTAAAAACATCATTAAATGTATTCCACGCCAAATTTAGTAAAGTTCGATCACTTTTAGAGTCAAGTCGGTGTCTGTGTATCTATGTCAGTTTTTCAAAGAATTTTTTGAATTCCCAAAGACTATTGGACCTAGATGATTGAGTGACAGCTGCAGAAATAAGTTTTTCAGAATTGCATTAATATCGAATGTCTAGAAATATCTACAATTTTTTTTTATATTGGAAAGATAAATAGTCAAAATTCATAATTTTTTTTATCAAAATAATGATGAATTCATGGTCTTTTATGCGATATTTGATTCATATCATTGTTTCCATTTAATATTGATTGGCACCATAAAATAAATTCTATAATTAATAGAATCAGGCGTTACTTTGCGGAAATCCATTATATAAAAGCTTTTAGAAAAATTTACTTCGCAAATTTTTTTAATTTAGTTTGCAAAGTAAATTTTTCTAAAAGCTTTTATAAAATAGATTCTGATTATGTTCGAGTAAACATATATAATAAAACAAATTGTAATAAATCACGTTACATTTTAACTTCTATTTAAGCGGGTTGTACAAAACACATCATTGGAAGAAAGTTCCATAAAAATTTGCGTAAAATAACGTATTGCTGATGTGAAGCACCGACGCTCCGAGAAGTCTGAAAGTATGTCAACATGTTGAGTATCGTCCCAACCATTATAATATCAGATCTGATAGACAACAAATAAACCCCCGCCCCCCTCTCCATGGGTTCTGTATAGTGCCCGAAACGTCATTAATTATAAAAGTTAAAATTAAACACGATAAAATGCTTATGATTACTTTCATTGCAAATGAAGTTCTATTCGCAGTGAACGTAGGTACATAGAACTACACTCATGATCGAAAGCAGAAAAATATTCGCCTTGTGGTGGCGGCGAAAGAGAATCCGGCACCTCAAATCGCTCCGTGTGTGTCCTAAGAGGCAATAGAGGAAAACAAACAGGAGATGGGCAACATCATGTTCCTGACAACAGTTCAAAATAATAAATGCTGCGGATGTCAACCTGCCTGCCAAGCGTGGCCTATTTGACAAGTTATGTGGGAGACCTATGTTCAGTTCAGTGGACTTTTGATAGGTTGTAATGATAACGGTGATGAGTTCTATTCTTTCGAATCTTTGCTACCGTTAATATTTACGGTAGTGTGAAAACAAAAACGTAACATCTCCGAAAATATGAATGATATAAAAACAGCATAATTGCCCCACTAAAACTAAAAAAAGTAACGACCTACATTACATGTCACTACTGGGCACAGGCCACAGAGCATTTGGCCAAAAAAGGTGCCAACGCTGGATTACCTCAGCTGGGGAAATTCTCGGATATTCAGGTTTTCTTTCACCGCCGAGAACGTGGTAAATCAACACTTCAAATTTCATTTAACATATATGTAAAAAGATATAATAATGCTTATGTACTATGAAATTTACCTTTGCTTTGACAAGTAAAATAAAATAAATCTTTGTTTAAGTAAAATCTGCTATCTTCCATATTTAAAGTAGTTTTTCGCAACATTTTCATTTCATAATCTAATGTGAGCTATGAAACCATTACTATCACAAAAATCTTGATTTGTCTGATAATATGAAAACTCAAAAATACAAAAATCCAACAAACTGATAGCAGCTTACATACGTCTCACTACTGTGCACACGGATCCCCTTTACCTATAGTGTTTGTGAGCAGAAAAGAGTATGCCGCAATCCTTCAACTACTACTCCGACATTTAGGTTTGCCCACGAAGTTATTCTTCATCACTTCAATGGGCATGTAAGTCAGCGCGTAAGTAAAATTTCCCATAACAGATTTATTTGTCCTCAAAGGACTCGTACACGTTTTGCTCCCTAGCCGTGATGAAATCTCACGGCGAGCTACGCGGCTCGTATTTGTTTAATAAAAACTGAAACAAAGCATTTGTACCATTGTTGACCATATCTACCTAGTAATTAGATACCTAACGATGCCACGAACTATTCCATCGAATAGAGATAAAATCACACAGTGCACTTAATTTCCAATTATTTACATCAGATAACGTGATAACATATGAAGTAGGTAAAATGAAACCTATGCCGACAGACAAGCAATATATTGAACTAAAGAGCTTCTCTCCTAATCTCAGTTTTGTGTACAACAGTGTTGTTAGCCATTTTGCCAAACGTGGTTATTGTGATAAATAATATCGATAATGACCACCGGTCTAGATATTTTTAAGTGTGACAATTTTTGATGCTGCACGACAAAGTATTCAGTAGCATTCTAAAATTTAATTGTATCAGTTACTTATCATTAGTTTATTTAGAGAAAGTAGAGGGCGCTATATTACATTAATACTATGAAAATCAAAACTATACTATCTAGTAATATCGGCTATAAGAAGGCTCAAAAGCCAACCACAAAGCCGGAAACATTTATTTATTATATAAAAAAGGCATGATGTTGATCCTTTTAAATAAATCTGTTTCCGTTAAAAACACACGCTATCAGCGCCGCTAGCGGTGAAAAACTATTTGACGATATGAAGATATTATCATGAAATAGCAATATTGTGTTTAGTTACTGATATTGTTAAACGATCTCTATTCTTTGTTTGGCTAAGCTATATTATAAGACATGGTCAACAAAGAGTGATAAATATCATGAAAT